GTGAAGTGTGTCCTCTGCGATTTCTGCTGAAGTGGAAGATGAAGAACGGAGTTCGAGAGGCCAACGCTCGAGTTATTCTACAAGGATTCCATTTGGAAGAAGCGACGAGCACGAACGTAGGTGACGACCCGACGAAGAGGCCAGCCCGACGAGCACGAAGAGGCCAGCCCGACGCTGACGAGGCTCGCGAGGTACCTCATCCCACTCGGAAGATGATCGCGGCAGACGTGAAGAGCGTATTTCTGCAGGCGAAGGACATTCGTCAGCAAGGAGTACGTATATTCAGCAGACCGACGAAGGACATCCGAAGGAGGTTGGCGAAGATGATGGACCTAAAGGACGACGAGATTCTGCAGACGATGAAGCCAGCTTTTGGAGATGTTCGCGCCCCAAGGCAGTGGAATCAGACGATTACCGAGGCCATGATCGACATCGGGTTTCTACAACATCAACTGGATCGGTGCTGTTTTCTGTCATACCGTAATGCGACGGACGGCGACGACCCGTTCCTGGTATGGGGCGCAGACGACGGCCAGAACTACGTCCTGGACGGGGTTCTGGGTTTACACGTGGACGACTTCATCGGCGGCGGCGAGAACCTGGAGTGCGAGGCCGACCTGACCGACAAGCAGGCCTACGAGGGCACGTTCCTGGATCGAGTTCAGACCCTCAGCAGGCGGCTCAAGTTCGAAAAATGGGAGTTTCAAAATGGAATTGTTTTCTGTGGTATGGAGACCACTCAGGCGCAGTCAAGGAACGAGATCGAGGTCAAGGCCGAGGCGTACATCCACAAGGTTAAACCGATAAGCATCGAGAAGGTTCGCCGCTAGCACCTGGACGATTTTTGTGCACGCCTGAGGAGATCAGCCAGCTGCGAGGACTGAATGGAGCTATGCAGTGACCGGCGTCTCAAGTGTATGGTGCAGGCGGCGGCGACGATTCATTTGCCCAAGGCGACGTGAGGAAGGCTACAGTGGGAAAGTTGCTGGAGGCCAACAAGTCATTGCGGTTCTTGAAGGCGAGCGGAGACGTGGGCATTCGTATCCGATACGTGTCCAAGTGGGAGCTGCTGCGTCTAGAGGTTTATTGGGACGCTTCGTGGGCAACGAGACCGAATGGCGAGTCACAAGGAGGCTATGCGATATTCGCTATCGAGGACCAAAGGATCGACGACGGCCAGCCTACATTTTTGGTTAGCATCGACTGGACGAGCAAGAAGTTGGTTCGTATTTGCAGGAGCTCTCTAGCATAAAAAGCTCAAGCGGCGGCCAACGCCGTAGACGCTCTGGAGTTGACGAAGAAGATGCTGTTCACCATGCTCTATCCCAACCTGCAGCTGACAGGTGCGGATATGCTGCAGGTGCTCGGGCGGAGCCCGTGTATCACGGACTGCAAGGCACTCTACGACGCGGCGAATTCTCAGGCGCCAGCCGGTGGCCTGACTGAGCGCAGGACGGGCATCGAGATCATGCAGGTGAACCAGAAGATGAGGGAGTTCGGCGGTGTGTGGCGATGGACAAACACGTTTCAGCAGATGGCGGACAGTTTGACGAAGTTGCAGTTGCGACAGTAGTTTGTGGAGAAGCTACGGAGGATGACACACGCGCTGAAGTGAGACGCGACGTTCACGGCAGGCAAGAAGGTTAGCCAGAAGGAGCGCGATCGGAACGAGCAGAAGTTGAACGACGCGGCGGCCGATTTCGACGAGGCGAATGCAGTTGACCAGCTACAAGAGGGAGAGCCAGAACGCGAGGCGGTTAGAGCTACCAGGGCAGGAACATGGAAGGCGCAGAGGCTCGCGGCACTTGTGTCAGCGACGGCGGCGACTACGACGAAAGCGGAGGATACCTGCCCAAGTATCGATATCAACGAGACGCAGTGGATCTACATGACGGGGCTCGCACTCTTGCTGGTGGCTATGGTATTACTGTGTGGAAGCTGTCTGTGCGCAACGTGCTATTTCAAGCGAGCGAACGAGCGATTTCTCAAAGCGAAGAACGACGAGATGAAAGCATGTTTGATCGCAGGACCAACTACCAAGGACGACGACGATGCCGAGCGCAGAGAGATGCGGACCAAGCTGTGCGACCAAGCGGAGGAGATCGAGCGTTTGCGGACGGCGATTCTCGAGCACGAGGCAAGGACCAAGAAGGTACGAGAGTTACAGCAGGACCTAGAGTCTCTATTCACGGATTTCGAGCAGCGCGGCAAGAGTTTGCAAGAGTACGATCAGAAGCTGACGACGATCGACAAGGAGCTGCGCGAAAGGAACGACGAGCTTGGGATCTGTTACAAGAGGCTGACGACGCTGAACGCGAGCAACCACAAGCTGGAGCTGCAGTGAAACAGCGCGAAGAACGAGATACGCCAGTTGCAGCTACATGCTCGAGACGTGCCGGAACCTGAGAGGGTGCGCTCGGCGAACACGCAGTCACAGTGCACGTACCGACGGGACTTAGCCACGCCACGATTTCAGGAGATCAGGTCGATTCACGAATCGGCGGTGACGACAACGGACGAGTTCATGGTTCCACGATCGTCGAACTCAACAGGGACGCAATCGGCGTGGAGGTCATGATAAGCGGGACCTACGATATGCGAGGAGACCAGGGCACATCTCTCAACTCTGAGTTGAAATGGTGCGGGTTTTATTTTTTGGGGGAGTTGATTTCAGGTATGGCAGCGCGTGTGTTCGAGTTTAAGAGGAATCGGGGCTTAAGAGCTTCTTTTCTTCCCCCTGTGTCAATGGCACAGATATGTTCCAATGTAGTTTGCTAAGCATGATGTAATGATTGCTAGCGTATGCATGTGTGTGCTGCTTGCTTGTTGCAGTATATATGTGTGCGTAGGTGTGTGCGCGCCCGCTGCCTGTTTTGACTCAAACTGTTCGTAGGAACCCCTGAGCTGATATAAACTACGAGAGGATCTCATCGATCACAATCAATCCTATTTCGCATTCAGTTTGGAACTTTGTGTGTTCAAACTTCGGTGGTTCAGTTGTGTGCTACCGACAAAGACGAGGGGTGTGCAGGAGCAGGATGGGGATGAGCTCCACAGCTCTGTCCAAGAATAACACAAATGATGGCATGACGAAAACGGGAGTGAAAAGAGGACCACGCAGAGGAAACAACAACGACTTGGGGTGAAGCTCGAGAACGCGAGAAAGCAAAAAACTTTGAAAACAACGATTGCGAATCCAAGATTTGGACCTCTTCGGGCTCTCTCGAGACGCCTCTCGGAGCTCTCTTGGGGCGTCTTGAAGGCCTCTTGGGCTGTGTATTTGCCGTGTTGGGCCCATCTGAGGCCACGTTGGGCCCATCTGGGCTGCCTTGGAGCACCTTGGCGCTCCCGCTCGCGGTCTGTAGCCCAGCTTGGGCCTCACCTGGGGCTCTCTCGGGCCGCCTGGGGCTCCTCCTGGGCAATTTTCAAACTCCCTGGTGCCATCTCGGGGCTCTTTGGGCGGTCTTGGGAGCGTTGTCGGCCGTCTTGGAGCGTGGGAAGGTCGAAAACGTGAGAAACCGAAAAACATGTTTTAATAAATAATAATATTAATAATAATAATAATAATAATAATAATAATACCATTACTATTATTATGATCATCATTATTATTATTGTTATATGATGAGGGCCTCTTTGGGCTCGCTCGGGGTGATTCTCGGGGCTCTCTTGAGGCCTTCTGGAAGCCTCTCGGGCTTTGTATTTGCCGTGTTGGGCCCATCTGGGCAGTTTGGGAGCGCCGTGGCGCCTCCCGCTCGCGGTCTGTACCCAGCTTGGGCCCGACCTGGGGCTCTCCTGGGCCGTCTGGGGCTCCTCCTGGGCGATGCTCAAACTCCCTGGTGCCGTCTCGGGGCTTTTTTGGGGTCTCCTCGGCGATCTTGGGACAGTCTTGGGAGCGTCATCGGCCGTCTTGGAGCGCAGGGAATGTCGACAACGTGAGAAACCGAAAAACACTTCTTCTAAAAAATCATACTGGTAAATGGTGTGGGCCTCTCTGGGCTCTCTCGAGATGTTTCTCGGAGCTCTCTCCTGCTCGATACTTCCTCACAACTTACTCGGAGGCCAGGAAGGCCCTCGAACTCACGAACGGCGCCCTCGTTCGAGACTTCCTCGTAATTCAAACAAGCTGGTGGAAGCCCAGACTCGGCGATAAGGGCTCTCGTTCGATATTTCTCCACAGGTATTCAAAGAGCCCTTGGCCAGAGAGGCACCCGAACTCAGGAACGGCGCTCTCGCTCGAGACTTCCTCGCACTTCAGTCAGTGGCCGACAAGGAAGAGATTTCCCCTGAAAGGGGGTGCAATCGAAGACGAAGGGCGCGGGCATCGAGGGTTGGGGTATACAGAATGCAAGACACGCGTGCCGATAAGATCAAACAGTCTTCAATGATTGTTGGTGTTGTCGTTGTTGTTGTTATTGTTGCTGCTGCCGCTGCTGCTGTTGCTGTTCGGGGGCCAATAACGCAGTTTGAAGAGGAAAACCTTCCCTGAAAAAACAATGTACGAGCCCCCGGAAGAGTACTTCAATTGAAAACACATATATGTTACCGGAGTGGGGGATCAACAATAACTTTTCTTCCATAGTGAGAATGCAATCCGCACCGCGGAAGCCCACTTCAGCCACGCACCCAGGGACAGTGAATGACAGTTCGGCACCATCAATCTCAGTATCCCAATTATGATGATTCATATTCTCATTGCTAGTCGTGTAGTACTATTATTATTCATATCACTCATGTTAATGTTGTGATGATTATCCGGATTGGTACTTGTCCTGCGCTGAGTTCTCCTAACCATAGTATTACGAAGCATACGATCACCATTGGTATTATTTATAATAAGACTGTCATTATTTATCCCCCACGTGTTCCCCGAAGGGGTTCCCACAACGGCTGGGGAAACACATAGTCCAATAGCTTGGCCGAGCTATGGCCGCAACGTCTGGCCACATAGGCTCTTTAACAAAGAAGAGGGCGGCGGTGATTAGCCGTAGGCGTCTGTGATGTTCCAACGAACGAAACCTGGGGTCACCGCAGAAACGGGGACTCGTTTTAAGCCCAGAATGCGCTGGCACCGCCCGAAATCGGAGCATGAAAGACAGCTGCTGCCGTGCCTAACGCGAGACGCGAGAAGACTTGGCAATAGGCCACCAAACCCACGCCAAGATTCTACGGGATGAGCTCAGACTCACGGCCCGACTTGCCCGCTAACTGGAAGCGAGGCGTGCCGCAGTTGTCAGTGCTCCCATTATCGTTCCTCCACCGCCTCTAGGCCAAGAGAAGGAAGGAATGCAGCGAAAGTCCGCACAAGTGTGCGCCCTCCTCAGCAATTACTACAGCAGCGCGCAAAGGACGCCCGTGACGACCCCAACCACAGCAAGATGGTCGAAAGCCGTGGACCGGGAAAGGAATGAAACGCTGAAGCCGCACGAGAAGAGCGAGCCTGTGACCGTGGGCGACACCGCCCGCGCGAGGGCCTGAAGGGCCGCGAGCACCCCGTTGGCCGACGCGAGCTGCCTCCTGTGAAGATCGTTTAACCGATTCGCATCCCCACTGGCCTGCCGTTGGCCCCGATGACCCCCCGTCGGGTTTCGCGGGGCCTATCCCCGAACTGCAGGGGTGGGCTGGTGGGGCTAGGCCAAGATGCCATGGCCCAATGGGATGGGGATAGGTTGAACGATGCTGATCCTGTGATCCGGGAGGGTGGCCACGTGCTCGTTCACGATCAGCTGGATGCTGGTAAAGCCGCTGCCAAGTAGCACGCTGATCACGATCTGGCTCCCGTAGTTCAGCACCAATATGGCGACCCCGTCGGCGCTCGCTCCCTGCGAGATGAGACGCGTCACCAGTCGCGGAAACGAAACGAGCACGACCAGCGGCAAAGCCCAGGACCAGACCCAGAGCCGCCTGACGGATACTGACGAGGCCAACCGAGTATACAGAAGGACGTTGTAGGTGACCAGGGCAACACCTCCGACCAGGAAGTTCACTCCGACCTGCGTTGTCGTCCAATCTTCGCCCGTCTCGTCTGCGTCGAGCTCTGCCAGAGTGGGGTATGTTGTTTCCCATCCTGTAAAGACGTACGAATGGCCCCACGCCATGGCCATGACGAGAAGAAACCCTCTATCTGTGAACAAGTTCGTCGTAGCCTGCGAAACAGGACTTCGCTGGAGATCCCTGTCCGGGAGGAACGCGGTCTCGGGCAGCAAGAATAGGACGACCAAGAGACACATCGAGTAAGTCAACGCAATCAGGAGCCATGGCAAAGTCCACGAAAGCTTCATGATCTGTGGCCAAGACAACTCCTTACCATAGGAAACCCCTCCCAAGGAAGGGCCCAAAAGTGCAGACACCGCGTACCCCGACGACACCCAGGAGAAGGCTTGCTTGTCGTCGGCGTCGCGATGGCTGAATGCCTCGCGCATCGACATGGGAGAGGAATAAAGAATGACGTCGACGACAACAAGGAGAAAAGGACGAGGGAAAGGAAAGGAGAAGAGGGGAAGAGAGCAAGTGAGGGAGCAGCACCCTTATATACTGTAATGATGGTTTCCCCACGCTCCACTTCACAACACAATAGGCGAAGAGGGGAGGACGCCAGAGCCCCGTCTCCATTGGCGCAAGCAGTGGGCGCAGCGTCGCGAAGCGCGCGCCGCCGCCCTGACGCGCGGGCACGCAGTGCGGAAGGGGGGGAAGGCAGGCTCGAGCCCAAAGGGCTGCAGAGGAGGAGGAAAAAAGCGGGCAAGGCGTCCTGCCGCTTCGCAGGGGAATCCCGTTCCAGCCTCGGCACGAACCAAACCAGACTCCCCTCCAGCCCACTTCACAATGCACTCGGCAAAAAGCCCCTCATTGAACTAGCGCAATCACTGGGTACAGGGTCGCGAAGCGCGCGCCGCCGTCCACCACGAAAGCGCGGGGTGCCTTGGGCCCTCCACTCGACAATGCACGCCGGAAGCCGCCCTGCACACAGGGGAGCCCTGCACCCGCACTCCTGATGCGAGGAAAAGGCCGAGAATAAACGCACGCGGGACGCGCCTGCCTTCCGCCGGTACGCACCTCTGGCGCGCCCAGACCGCGAGGCCGTCGGGGGCAAGGAAGAAAGCAAGGAGGCTCGCCAGCCCTCGCGGGAAAGCCCACGCGCCCTCCTCCCCGCGGGTTCCTCGAACGAAGGGTCGGCAAACGGGGGGGAGAGGCGGCCGCGAGGCTTTTGGCCGCCCCCTCCGAGCCCGTTTTGAGCCCCTCAGTTCGTGATGGGGCCATTTCGCCTCCAGCTGGAGGGCGAACCCTGAAAGCCGCACATCCAGGCCAGGCAAGGAGGGGCTCGGGCCACCAACCCCATGGGGCCCTTCCTCCGCGCGGGCCTCTATGCGGCCCAACTGCGCCCCGCGCGCACGCAGAGGGCAGGACCAAGTGCCCCAGGCCCACTTGGCCCCCATCCGCCAGCACCCCCCCCCCAGGCGCAGCGCGAGGACGGACGCGCCCCCTCGCAGCGTGCGCGGCGCCCCCCACACAAGGGCGCGAGGGTAACCCCGTCGCCGCGCATCTCTCAGCCGCCGGCGCCAGCGCGCGAGCTGCCGCTCAGGAGGAGCGCGGTGACGCTCGCCCACCGGGATCCTGCAGGGCTCGCAGCGTTCGGCTCCACGGGCATCTTGGGCGGGCCCTTCGTCTTCCGAGCCCCCCTGCTTCCCCGCTGGCGGGGCTCGCCTGCGCCGCAGCCTGGCGCAGCACCACCCTCCCGGGGCCATTGAGCAGCAGCGGCCGAGAACCCCTCTTTGGGCCAGCCCAGCGAGAAGGCCGAAGATCCCGCGGAGCCAGCCGCAAGAAGTGCACAGAAGGTTCTTCCTCCCCGATATCCACCAAAGCTTCGGCATCCACCGCGGTGCAGAGATGGCTGTGGACCGCCGCCCTCGGGGCCGCCGGTGGGTTTTCACTATCACTTCCCAGGCGGGCCCGCTCACCCTCGATCACGGCGAGGACGCGGTTGGGTCTCCAATGGTTCGTGCGCCCCCCGCCGCGACTGACCTTCTTGAGAAACTCGTTGTTGGCCACCTGGCCATCCGGGCCCCTCCAATCCAGGCCTTGCAAGGGCACCAAGTCCCTGGCGCTCTCAAACCGCGGTGCCTGGACGCTGGCCCGTCGGAGGCAGCCGACAGCCTGGTGGGCCGATCAGTCTTTCCTCTGAGAATCGGGGTAAGATGACAAAGGAACTAAGATCTCATGTTCACTCTGCTCAAGGAGAGCGGAGGCGGGATGAGACATTGATAACACAGATATCCGTTAAGCAAAACCACTCTATCAGGAATTGGAAGGGAGGAGGAAGGCCGAGGACGGACGACGACGAATCGCCCGCGCACCCTAGCGCGTTCCTTTTCTCTCCTGCCAGCCGAGGTCGGCTGGTTTGAGCAGTTATGCAGCTGCAGAAACGCAGCATCAGTTCACGCGGACAGTTCATTGCATGCAAACTAAGTTAAGTTCTAATTGAGTATGAGGCGGAGAGGAGCACATTTACTCCCCCCGCGGCGGAGTAAAAGAGCCCATCCAGCCACAGCACCCCCGGCCTGTACATTTGCACAACCACCGGAGCCAACCCGAAAAAGCTTTTACGGCTCAACGGTGGCTGCCAGGGGGCCAAGGGCCGAAGAGGCTCGACGTTTCCCACCATGGTTATAAATAGTTTCTCTCCGCTGGACCGGCTTAGCCGACCAGTAGAGAGGTCCGCGCCCAGCACGCTTAGCGCGTGGGTAATGTGTTTGGTGCGCGCATGCCGCGGGCGGAGTCACGCGGGCCGCGCTCAGTCGAGGTCCCCCCGCGGATTCCGCGAACTCTCTCGCCCGGGCGGCGCCGGAGGCGGCGGGTTTGAAGTCGCCGATCCTCCCGTCTGCACGTCCATGCCACGAGGCGTGCGAGATCGCCCTCTCTCTGTCAGCATTTCCAACCTGCGCCGCCTCTCTCGGCGGGAAATGATGATCATGCTCCCACTTTGACAGCCAGGTCCAGCAAGGCAAATTGCACCATTCATCGTCAGTAAGCCACGTGATCCTGTTCCGATGGAGGTGATATCCAACAAAAATTCCATTCACGTGGGTCGGGTAGGACTGGTCGGGGTCGCGCGTGGAGCCGTGTCCTGCGGCGCTGCCGGCAGCATCCGAGGCAGCACCTGCGGCAGCGTCCGCCGCCGCGGGCAGCACAAGGCCGGCGGCATCATCGGCGGCCGCGGCAGAGGTATCATCCATGGCTGCATCGCGCGCGCGTCGCAAATCCGACCGATCCCTCGCGTTGGGATCTTGTAAGTTAGCGTCTCTGGTCGGCGCGGCTGAGCCGGCGACAGAACGTGGGGAACCAGTAGCCTCCTCAGACGCCTGAGCATCTGAGATGCCAGGTCGAAGAGACAGCGTGCGAGACAAAGGTCTTGCCTTTGGTCCAGCAGGCAATCGTGGCCCCACGATCTCGGCTTCGCCGTCGTGCTCAGGGCCATTATCCCTACCGTTCATAAATTGCAATATACTTCTGGCAGCAGTTGCTGCAGCGACACCGTATAGACCGCATGCAGTGCGGAAAGGGCCATCTTCCTTGTCCTGAAGATCAGTACCGGGGTCAGGATACTTATCCTGTAGCCAAGTTATGGCATCTTGTATTATAGCATCGTGGCGACGGACGTCATTATGTACTTTCCTGCCCATCTTGTGGGCCCATGTTTCTATGATGTCGTCTGCCTCAACAGCCGCGCGAATTCGGCAGTCCAAGGCATATGCGTCGGCTCGTTTCTTTGATTCGATATCATCCGTGCTCGTCATTTCGGGACGAATGATTCGCCTCGGGTAGCCACTAGAGTGATCCTCCGATATAAAGTAGCTGACTATCTCACGAATAATTTCGAAAATCCTTATGGGGCGAAGGCCCAGTTCCATGTTTTGTGTTGTTACTAACCAATTGTCGTCCACTATTTTCTTGATGATCGCCGGGATTGCGTAGTCTGCCGTTCCAGTCAGGGTAACCCTGCCCGGCGTAGTAGGGTTTATTCCCGTGTGTTCAAATTATGCAATGAGCGGCAACCTCTCGAACTTCGTCCCCGAACAATCTAATTTTAATTAGACGGTCCTCATGATGAAAGCATACGCGTCCCTCAGGTGCATCAAGTGCGAGGAATCCGTCAGTTATCGACGCAACCGTAGGCCCGCTGATCACTTTGAGGTCCAGATCCATTTGTGTCTGTTCACGTGCCCTCGCGGCTGAGCCGGGGGCATGTTGCAACACGGGAACTATGAGGCGATGGTCTCGACACATGCTGACCCGTCTTGCAACGGAGCGAGAACTGCGAGTCGGTCGCGCTATAAAATTGTTTTCCCAGGCGACCGGTAACCTCGCAGGAGGGTTGTCGTTGTTGGCGTTGTTTCCAGTATCTTCAGGAAATACGCCGAACCATGACATGTCAAAATTTATGGCATCATCTACTGTGGCAAGTGTAGGAACACAGAGGTTTGCTCTCCTCATGTTGTTGAACCATTGTGCCCAGCCAATCCTAGGTGTGATCAAGTCATCTGGTTCATCAGGCCATTGGAATGCTCGTAATGCTGGGCAGGATCTGGCGTACTGATCAAAACCTGTCGCCCATAATTCTGGCCACCATTTGTTGATAGGCGGGGTTCGCCTGTGTACATTTGTGGCCGAGTATTCTAGCCACGATATAAATCTCTTGACCAAAGGCCTTAAGTATTCAAAGAAAGGAGCATGTCGCGCCGGAGGCTGAGCCTCGGCGTTCTCTGGGATCCAAGCTGGAAAGTTTCCCTGCTGGCCGTTGCCAAATATTGTGTCAGCAGCCGCCATTGTGGCAAAGCTGGTTTCCCATTTTCGCTCCTGCTGATTGTTGTTGGCGACATTTTTCGCAACGTTAACAGAAGCCCCCCGTGTCTCCTTATCCGCGCCCCCATGTATACGCGACGATCCCACGACAGAGATCCTTCGTCCTCCACGATTATCCAAATACCGCGTGCCGCAAGGGATTGCGGGATAGTTTTGTACTTCCATGTCTGGGTCACGTAATCATGGGGGAACTTTATCTATATCGGACTGGGCAATTACAGACGGGACAGTTGGCAAAACCCGACCTCACCCAGTGGTAACGGAAGCAAAGGAATCTCCCATCGTCATCCAATGGGGTAGATATAATTCGATCTTGAATCGAAGTTTCCAATCTTGGTTCATGGTCCCAATTAATAAGTCTCGTCTGTATTAACCCAAGCAATAATCGACGCGTCGTCGAAAGTGATCTCGTATGAAGATAGTTCGCGGTTAAAGAGTACCGTCCAGCGCATCTGATTCATCTGCCTCACGAGTGAGACGGCTTTGTCGATGTCTGTAAACCTCGGTACCTCCCGGGACACCAATGTCCCGTCTGGGCATACTCTGTACGAGAAGCGGGCGAGTACTCTGCTGGTGAAAACAAGGATACTATCCCATTGTTCATGATGCTTGAGGTTGGGGAGACATGGCCAGAGGTGGCGTATGTCTTCCACGTTCAAGGTACCCACCTTTGGCGGCTCTCCATCCCGAGCCTGATTACCCATAGATGCTACAGTTTTTATGGTGGGCGCTTGTCCATATCTCCTTCGGCTTAGCCACGGAGGAAAATCCGAGGTGTCAGGCATTGTTGGGCAGTTGTGTGCCAGAAGTAAACGCAATAAATCGTAATCTGCGGCGTGACACAGCCCAGAGTTGCCCTTTGGAAAGCAAGTAATTCCACTCGTAGACTCCAAAAATGCCTGTAGGCTCGTAATATGTAGGAGAGATCCGTGACTCCTGACTTGGCCAGGATCGCACGGGACATACATTCTTTCAATCGAAGCGGTAAACGTTGAATGTCCCTGACATGCCCTATAGAATATCGGCATGGGCAATTCTCTTCCATTGATCTCTTGTAGAGATCTGTAATTGTGTTTGTCCCACAGAGCGTGGATTAGTGTTCCAGCAATATTGGGACTGTCTTTTGGGGAAATCCCCAGAACATCAATTGTCCCCGCCGGCAACACAGCTAAGCTGTCCAAGGCGTACGATTGGAAAGTAAAACCGTCATCATATAACTTCTGCACCAGGTTCCCAAACTAGACCCAGCCTCCTGACGATCTAGCATAGTCCGAACAGTGCCTCGCGATGTATACAGCACATTGGCCTATTATTTTGGCCAAATCATCCGCTCGGAAACTCAGGCCGCTCCAGGTGTCCGGACTGCCTAAGGCAACCGGGTTTTCACCGTCATCTTCTCCATCTATAAGTGGCCGCAAGCACGCATAGGCGCCCGGAGAAAAACCATCAAGACAGTCGTCAGAATGAAACTCGGCTCTCATATAATCCTTTGCATGCGCGAAAGATCCGTCGTCTTGGTTGAGACCCGCCAATATTGCAAATATTGGATCTTCCACAAATTCTGCCATGTGCCGAAGCGTAATTCCCGTTTGCTTACGGATGGCTTCGACGTTGGGCGGTACAGGGCCCGTGATATGGGCGTCCTGGAGCATTTGCTTTGGAGGCCCAGGCGTAGCCTGAAGTATGCGATGGCGTTCTTCTGTTGTCACATACAATCGTTTCTCTTTAAAGTCCGCAGCATGCCCCACCGTTACATCTCGGTCCCCATCGTAAGGGTCCCAGTACTGCGGCCGTCCCTGCCGTGTATCTGGAGTAGGTGGAAGGCATACCGGAACATATTCGTAGATGCCGGTCCACGTGGGAAAGTTTCGCCATCCATTGACTCCAGAAATTGACATCTTTCTCGTGCGGATTTTTTTTTTGCAAGAGTCCTCCGATTCGTCGCCCATTTCTTGTACTTCCGGGTGGCCTGAGGCCTCCGGTGGCGACGGAGCACGGCCTTTGGGAACACGTTTTGCCCCATCATCGTTGATGTGTGACGTTCCGTCGTCCGACGGCACTTGTGTCGGACTCGATTGCTCATCTTGTACATCACAGCGGTCCTCTTGGTCCGCTCCGGCTGAGCCGGGCGGAGGGGCAGGAGGGGTAGGCACTCTGACCATCCCCCAGAATCTTCTGCCTTTCTACGTCTTGACCATCGAGGTCCGTCCGCAATCATCGGAGTGCGCACAAAATGTCTGTCCACCTTCAAGATTTGTTCG